TGCCAAATCCATCTTTGCTGCAAGAATGATTATAGGGAAGATTCGTTGAAAATTCACAGTGTTCGTGTGGAAGTTCCATCAGGTAAGATTTTGGATTCCTGATTGCATTGCGTTCGATGCTAAGTAGCCGGATGGGAAAGTGATAATCGTGATTATTCGTTTTTGTTTATTTGTAGGTAGGTCTAGTTCCGGAGGAACTAACGGTGCTTTGGAAACCCCTCAACAACTTGAATAAGGCTATGGAAGTTTCCAACTTCAATCTAATGGCGAAGGGCATCGAACTGAATTGCATCACATACCAGCGGTTGATTTCGCGCTTTTATAACGAAGGAGTCATTGAAGGAACTACCAAGATTCTGAAAAACATGTGATATTCGGATTTTTACATGTAGAGTGAGTATAGATCGTATATAGGAGAACAGTTTAGTTATTTTGTTGCATAGTGTTGAACTTGCTGTTTCTTTTGTTTTCATTGGTTTGCTATTAGCTACTAGGATTACTGGGCATCGATTTGCAATATTCTAGGTACTATGTATGTATTGGCAGACATGTCTGAAGCCGGACTAGATCCATCAGCGAATACGTAATACAACGATACAACCTAGGACCTCAATAAAGATCGAAATAGCAGGGGGTTGTGATCTGCCATACAAACTGGACCCAACCTAATGTATGTTTTTATTATAGAGCGTCCAGAAATGGTCAACAGCTACGACTAAGATGGTTATCATTCATGACGGATCAGGACTATAGATACTGTACGGTTGCAGTGACAGACCGAACATGGAACCGAACAGGCTGAGGTGTTCATTTCTATGTAAGCAATTAGCGTTTTATTGGAAAGGGACAACAAGAATAATCAAGGTGAATCGGGATGCAAGCTTGCATAGGTATATTCCCCCCTATTCTGCGAGTCACGTGACTCTCTGTCATTTGATTTACATGGAGAGTCACCTCACACGAGGTGACAATTGTCACCTCACCGGTGACAGAGAGTCACGTGACTCGCAGAATAAGGGGGATTGTATATGGTTTCAGAGCACATATTGAAGATAAAAAAAAACGAATGATCAAAAAGCTGATTGAAATATGAAACGGCGGAGATGAACGTGGAGGTCGGTTTAGTGATCGTAATGAACAGGCAGATCATTGACTGCATCGCAGTGGCTGTGATGGTCATGACAACAGCAATACATGCCGCGGTGGAGATATCACCAAAAAATTCAACTAACATCTCTGAACTACGCTAAAAGATCTAGGTTTTGACTACAGCTGAGCAAAACTTCTGAAGAGCAGTTGTATTTAAAAAAAATACAGTTTTTAAAAAGGTTACTTCAAACAGCAGAACTTTAAAAAATATATATTTATATATAGGAGAAAGGCACCAGATTACTTAAAATTTGCTTAGTTTTTGGCATGTACCAGTGATTTAAATGGGTACAAAGCCAACAACTGGTACCATTGCGTATATGGAAGTGTGCCATAACTTGCTCACTTACCCTAATGTAAAAATCGTAGTTTTGCGTAGCACCATGCGAACTTTGAGTTTTATTGTAGTGCGAGTTGATTACTTGCTTAGTTTCCGTGACCTTACCAAGGGTTATCACAGAGAATTGTTAGGACCGTTAACCCTTAACCCGTTCCTTCTCATGGTAGCACAGGAAGGGTTATTCCAGAGAATTGTTTGCACCGTTTCCCTTTCCTTCCTATAGTAGCACAGGTGATCCACAACTTTTTAATTCGTAAATCTACCGTTAAATTGTTAGTATTTATTTAAGCTTCTCCGTGTGCTCATTATTCTGATCCTTATGTATTCTCGAGAATCCAGCTGAGTAACTATTGAAAAACAATTAAAAAACAATAGATTTACTAAGGTAAGGAGGTAAGTTTGTCGTCGTTCCGACATCTGCCAGTGAGACTAGTTTGTTCCAAAACGACACCTTTAATCAGACAAGTATCCTCCATACGTGCTTAACCTTATTTTCCATATTTTTCAGTTCAAAATTTATGTTTCCACTCCATATCACCCTCGTTCAGCTCCACTTCAACGGAAATCTCTATACTCTGTCGGTGAAACTTGTTGACTCGTTGATGATGCCTTCCAACAAACCAGGAACGAATAAGAGGGACCATTAGTATAGTCATTTCCCAAATTTTGTTGGGGAACAGTTTGAAAGGGAGGTGCTCGTTTTTGTGGAATAACGTAGTTATTCCGGATGTTTGACTCTTTGAAAACAGTATTTAAGGCCTATTCTGCGCGGTGACACCCGAGGTGACAATTGTCACTATTCCATCACTTCACTGTCACCTAACCTCACACATCGCGCAAAATAGGTTTTGAAATTATCCTCCGAATTTTGAGAATAATCCTGAAAATTACATGGGAATCCAGCCAGAAGTTCCTTGAAATTCGCTCCGAAATTCTCCTAGGAATTCACATAAATGTGTCATATGGATAGGAAATCAATCATAAATGCGACTGATATACGATTATAGGCAGTACATATCTTTAACATTAGCTGAAAATCATCCGGAAAAATAATTAAATCTATCTTCAGCATTCGATTCCTTTGGAACCCTCCCCCTGGATCTATTGATTGATATGTAGGGACTTCCCATACCGACAGATAACGTCCATATTATGTGTTTATTTAGTGGATAGAACTCTCGATAACAGCGGAATCTATAGTTATAACTAGAGGGGGTCTAGTATAAGAGAGGAGCGGATTCAAAACAAACTGCTTTGGCAACCTATGCCTAGGTGATGTCTAGCAACACTGGCAATAAAATCAAGATAGGCGCTGCTCGATTGGCTCTGGCTTTGACAGTTCGTTTGGCTCAAAACCAGCCAGTCCACTCCTCTCTTATACTAGACCCTCTCTAGTTATAACTATATGAATTCACCAAATCTATGCAAACAAAGTCATAGCACACTTTCCAAATGAAAATAGTTCAATTATTATCATTTAAGGCTTGATTATGAGCACATACACTGATAGGCAAAATAAAGTGCCCACCCCATCATTTTTTGAATTTCTCTCATTTATTTGGTTCAAATTAAAGTAAATACACTGTAGTATTTTTTATATCTTATTCTTTATATTCTTTTTAAGTTTCACTTATAGAATACCAGATAAAAAGAAGAGACTGACTCGAAGAAAAAAAAATCAAAATGGGTGTAAAAAAGAACAGTGACAAAAAAAAGTGCCCACTGCATTTTAACTCCAGAAAACATAAAATAAAGTAAAAGAATACCAGCCTAATAGTTAATGTGTCCTCCTTTGGCCTTCAGGACCAGCTGCAGGCGCTTCGGCATGCTCTCCACTAGATTCTTCAGGTGCTGTGGATCTAGTTCTTCCCAGGCGCGCTCCAGGGCTTCAAAATAGTTATTTTTATTGGTAACACCAGTTTTGTCAACCCTGGCATCGAGAATCGCCCACAAATTCTCGATGGGGTTGAGGTCCGGGCTTTGTGGAGGCCATTCCAGTGGTTTAATTCGACATGACCGGAAGAAAGACTTAGTCTTCTTGGCAGTATGCTTCGGATCGTTGTCCTGCTGGAATACGAATTTCTCCTCAAGGCCCGTCTGGATCAGCGAAACTTCCAGATTTTCCCGCAGGATGTCGATGTAGGAATCTGCCGTCATTATCCCGTCGATTTTCACCAGGCTTCCCACTCCACCCCACGAAAAGCACCCCCAGACCATCACATTTCCTCCTCCATGCTTCACCGTGCCTTGTATGTGGCGCTCCTGAAGCTCCTCACCCGATCTACACCACACACGAACCCGTCGCTTCCGGTTGAACAGTTCGAATTTTGATTCGTCCGTCCAGAGAACCGTTTTCCAGAACTCTAGGGGCTTATCAGCATGCTCCTTAGCAAACTTAAGCCGTTTGACTTTGTTTGCCTTGCTGATAAATGGGCGCTTCCGAGCAACTTTGCTGTTCAACCCCTGTGCTACGAGACGGCGACGAACAGTTCGACTGGAAACTGTTAGCTGAAGAGCCTCCTGGATCTCGCGGACAGTTACCTTCGGGTTCTTCTTCACTTCACGCATGATCTTGGTGTCCGTTCTCGCATCCGTTTTGCGCATCCTGCCTCTGCCAGGGCGATCCACCACTGATCCGAACGATTTCATTTTCTGCAGAATTTTCCCGACCGCTGTTTTGCTGATATTGTACTTCCTAGCGACAGACCGGTGCGATTCACCGTTTTGCACATCACGAACAACCAATTTTCGGATACACACGGGAATTGCTTTCGAAATCACTACGTCCTCCATTTTTTTCAACTGATTCAAATGCGATCACGTGTACAAATGCACCAGTTCCACCCGTTTGCTTCAATACATGTCAAACTTTCAAAACAAAAACAATCGAGGGGTTTTCCGATGGAAACTTATCGAAAACATACCGATTTTTGAAGTGGGCACTTTTTTTTGTCACTGTTTTCTTTTTCAATCCAAATTGATTTTCTTTTACTTCAAGTAAAACTTTATATTTTCAGTATTCCATAGGTGTAACTTTAAAAGAATAATAAAGGTAAGACATCGAAACAGACTACGGTGTGTTTATTTGAATTTGAACCAAATAAATGAGAGAAATTTCAAAAATGATGGGGTGGGCACTTTATTTTGCCTATCAGTGTACGCACTAGTTGATGATATGCTTCAGATTCACATATCCATGGAAAATGTTCATGGAAACACGCTTGCACAAAAACATCTATTATTTTCCTATTATCGAATATGTATAGCAGCCAATTATAACGGCGCATGCGATTCTCCGTCATGATAGACTGCTTTTTATGGGCTTCTTGCTCCGTTTACTTTCGCACCGATGCATATGGGCACGACTGAATGATCACTACAACACGCGTGCTTCAACTAATATGCTTTATTCTTTCTCTTTTTAGTTAGCTTCCACCCCAATACCTCCCGCTACGAGCTGTTCCTTACGACTAACATAATAAAAATCACCGAAAACAAACTACACCAACCGCTATTCATATTCAAACTCCAGTCCTGTTCCGTCGAAATGCCTGCCAATCCAAGCATCGAATCGTTTCGACAACTCATCACTCATATGGTTCTTCCAATCACCGATCGCACCCTTGCGGATGAACTTGATACTCGCTTTGTCATCGATCTGGGCCGAATTCTTCATCAACGGTTCCATATTCACGGCCGGGTTCTTCTGCATTTTATCAAACTGCAAATGATCGCACAACTTTTGCACATCTTCCTCGGTGAGTTCGCGATCAATGTTCATAAACTCGGCACACTGCCGAATCACAGCGGGCAAGTGTCGCTTCATGTCTTCGTACTTCAGGAACAAGATGTTCGATTGATTGCGCCGTTTCCAGAGCGAAAGCATGTGAGCCCACATCGGTCCAATGGGAGCGTTGTCGGCCAGGAAAATGTCGCAAAAGTCCTCGAAACTGCCCTCGGTCTGATGGATCAACTGACAGTAGTAGTAGTACGACACGCAGAGGTCCTTGGGGTTCCGCGCTATGTAGATCATCTTGGGTCGAACCTGATCCATCTGGTTCGGAAGAAGCTGCCAAGGCAGGTGACACTTGACGAACCGTGGACTCGGCATACTGTGGACGCACGTCACGGAATTGACCTTCTTGTGTTCCCTGTTGAAAACATAGTTACTCAAAATAACCCTGATTTACAGCTCTTTAGAATTGCAAACTGCTTACGTTACAAATTCCTCCACACTGCGATCCTCGGAAAAAATGGCAGACAACTCCAGCAGAGGCGTCCGAACCTGTTGGATGTTCTTTGCTCCTTCATAGTCCAGGTTGTTGCCCAATAGCCAAATCATTTCCTGAGCCCAGGTCGATCCCGTCCGGGGATAGGACAGCAACCACACGTCATCCTTGCGGATCTCGAAGTTCTTAATGTCCTCACCGATTTCCTGGAACTTGCTGGGCATCAAGACCCGTCCGGGGTGCACTTCAATCAAGGCATTGTTTGTGCGGAAAAAGCCATCCAGCCGTTCCTTGAGATCCTTATCCAACTGTCGGTATTCTATATTCATGATGTTGCTAAACTCACGACACACAGACAGGATTAATTGGAGAAGTTGCACTTTCACTCGGCTTCGCCACTCAAAGACGACTAAAGCTTGCGCGCAATATTTTCCAATTGCATAGCTCCATAAAACAAGAGTGACTATAACTAACGTTTGGTGCGCAACTCCGGCTCATTGGGTTTCTGTTCGGGGTAGGAAAGGCTTGCTGCAGCAGTCCAAAGTGTGTTTTACTATTTTACCACACTGACTGGCCGGGCTGTTAAGTGGGAAATGGAGCCCAAAACAGAGGAAGTGCATTAGCTGCAACTCTGGAGAACTAGTTTTGTTTTTTTTTTCTCTGGTTCAGTGGAGGAGAGAGTGAATGCTTCAGCTGATGACATCTCAATAATAAAACGCGCTGCCGGCGGAAATTGCCGATGCAGATGTTATGCAATGGATGCGGAGAAATGCGTGGTGGGTGTACTGTGAAACGATGTTGCTTTCAAATGAAAATTTCGTTACGTTTAGATGTATCTGTTTATAACGTAGCATAATGTATGTAGTCATTCGTATACTCATTGTGTGGCATTTGCGTCGTATGAATTAAAACAACTTGAAACCTTTCACTACAATTTAGATAACCTCTTTTGATCAGTTTCGAATGGATAGATATGATTAACTACTCTATAAATTTTGAAGAAGCTACATGCTACTAGATTATGACAGTTTTTCAAGTGACTGTTATACAAATAAAGTTTTTTTTTTACTTAAAAAACAGGATTAAACCACTTATGCACTATGAGGAATTTCCATAGAAGGTGTCCAAAAATATGTTCTTGATTATTCTGCATTATTTTACAAGTTTTGTATTAGTATGGGCCTACATTAGGTCTTTCAGATGCTCCAAAATATCCTGGAGTTCAGATCTTGACGTTCTATAGACTCAATGTGGTATGGTACACACGTTTCCGACATTACTACACATTAGAGTGATGCAAAATTTGAAATTTTCACTCCACAATACTTAAACGATTCCAAATCGGATCCTGACTAACCTCTCAAAATTTGAACCCATTTGGTGAGAAACTGCGATGGCACAAACCATTTGAAGTTTGTATGGGAATTACTATAGTAAAACCAAGATTTTTGTTCATGTCTATCTAATAATTCACCATATCGGTCTGCTTCAAAAACTTTCAATTGTACTTGTAGGAAATTTTCCCAGCTACAACTTTGCTCAAGACCGCTTTTTGATTAAATGCAAGGATCGAAAGTTATTAATGGTTCAATGCGCTGATGTCTTATGATCATGCTCAATCAACTGCTCTGCAGGCAACATTGGTGTTTCTGAGGCAATGAATAGGACACAAAAATCATGGCTACTATGTCACACTGCAAAATACAGTGTTGCCTACCGAGCAGCTGCTTGATCATGTCATAAGTTTACCAATCTCTTAAATAATTAATAACTTTTTCTTGTCTCGTTTAACCTAGAAACAGTCTTCAGCAAAGTTGTAGCTGAGAAAATTTTCTATAAGAATGGCTATCGAACTGTTTTGCAGCTTAATATGGAACAAGAATAGAAGGCAATGAACAAAAAGTTGAGATTTCCCATAGTAATTTACATGTAAACTTCAAATGGCTTGTGCGAAGTCTGTTTCTAACCAAATGAGTTGTAACTTTGGGAGGCTAATCAGGACCCGATTTGAAACCATTTAAGCACTGTGGAGCGAAAAAGTCAAAATTTGCATCAGTCTACTACACATGTTTAGAGCTTTGTAAAGCTTCATGACAACATGCGCAACATAGAATGGTTACAATAAGATATTCAATGCTCTCCAAACTATTCTGGAGCTAAGATCTTGATGTTCCACAGCCTCAATATAGTGTTAAACAATGTCTTGAAAATCAGTATGAGTCCATGATGCTCAAGAGAGCCTCTTGACAACTTGCGCGTCATGGAATGGTATCAATGAGATATTTAATGCTTTCCAAACTAATATGGAGTTTAGATCATGAAGTTCTAAAGACTCAATGAAACTGAAATTTTGTATGAGTTCATGAAATTCATGAAAGTCTTTTGACAACATGCACATCATCCAATGGTATCAATGAGATATTGAATGCTTTCCAAACCATTCTGGAGTTAAGATCTTGCAGTTATATGGACACAATTGTAGCTATTCGTTTGTCCCGGCAAGTTCAGCCGCATGAGACCCTTCGAGCTGGGTCTCAGGGTCGGCTTACTACTTGGTAATCACGAGGAGCTTCGTGGACAAGATGTGCAGCGTACGGTCACCTGATTAGAGATATTGAGTAGTGTGAAATGAAAGAATTAATTTGACGAAAAACAAGGGTTTTTATTTAGCTAATTGGTATATTGATGAGATTGGCTTAGTTAACTGTGTACCTTTCGCTCCCTGTTGTAAATATTAAATTAGCCATAAATAAAATTAGAACGAAATAGATCTAACTCATACGCCAAAAAACTATGCCAGTAGCGAAACTACACTGGCTGATTTACTATAAAAATAGAATGCCTCGCGAGTAACGCCACTCGAGCTTGTGCGATTTCTCCCAAGGCCGAGCCCAGAGAAATCTTCAGGAAAGTTGGGAAAGAGAGAGTTGTGGCTACACCCAACCTTGAACGAAGGGCCAGCGATCGGAATAATCTCTCGCATTGCCGAACTAGTTCAAAGAAGTTCACGGGAAAATCGAACTTCCGTTATGTTCGACCGAGGTCACCTTCCCTAATCTCCAAAGTAACCATTTTGGTTTTATGAGAGTTCTGTAGACCATGATTTAAACTTGTAGAATGCTATAAAACCTGCAATGTTACTTGGGCTGAGGGTCACGGGTTCGCTTCACCTTCGTCCGAACCGCAGATTACAGTGGAAGTGTTTCGTTTTGTTCGCGTATTGTAAAGTGAGTTAAATCACAGAGAACAGACATCCAAGTCAAATTCCTAAAGTGTGTAAGAAATTTAACTGCTATTTTGAATAGACATTTGAAACCAGAAATATCGTGGTGGCGCTAGTGTCGTTACCCATCGACGTCGATGACCGAGACGTCATCTTAACATAAATGTCAAAATTGTTGTGAGCAAAACATTGTTTGTTTAAAACCGATCAAAACATGGCCCGCAAGAGCTAGTTTTATTGATGCGCAAGTAAACCAAGCGAAAATCTTTTCACAATTTTCCTATGGATGCAGAATTGCCAGAACTCTAGGAGACTTTCTTCTCACGTGGAGTCCAAGCGCTTGTAACGAAAAAGTTATGTTGCGACCACTTCCCCGGATGCTTTTCGAATTTCTGGAAGAACGGATGCAGGATAAGCAGTGTTCAAATCTTACCACATTTTTCAGAATTTAAATGATGGCTAATTGGAGTTCACACCCTCACTTAATCATTTGAAGATACGCCGCCAGTGAACTAAAAAAAAAGTCAGTTTTGCTCCTGACTACTATGTCCAGTTAAAATTGGAACGATAAACGGTTGTAGATCTACAGGAAACTGTAAAAGAGCTTAAAATAATAATGGTTCCGCAGAAACTCGATTGATTTCCGTTGTTTTGTCCTATTTGTTTTGAACTGATTTGACAGTTCATTTGGAAACACGGTCAATAAGATCAACCCAAATTTTAATCGCAAAAAGTGATAACTCGAGTCGCAACATTCCGTATGGCGGCGCTAGTGTTTCTAACGTATTTTAATTTGAATTCTTACACATTTTTTTTTCGAAAAATTTGTTGAAGCTCGGATGACTGTTCTCTGTGGTTAAATCAACGTGGTTTTACCATAGAGGTAACTCTAAGACCAGAAGGTCCCGAAGAAACGAGCTCAACTTTTTGGCTCAGCTCTGATACTATCTTCGGTCCCAAGCTAATCGATTCACCCCTCGAAACATAGGAAAATCCACGAACCCCTCATTTTATCTGTCAAACTTTCATGGGGAATCAAAACAAATATAGTACTAGAATTTCAACTAGAATGGGGTACGTTAATTGATTTGCTTGGGACCAATAGGCTAGTCAAGTAGTGAGCCAATTTTAAATCGTTAGTTTCGTATTGATTGTTGCTACTACTGGATTGTACCAACATGGCAAAACTAAATGTACTAGAATGTTTTGGTTCTATCTCTTTCACTCTACTCAAAAAATGACAAAATGATACACTCTTTGCACACTTTCAAAGATCATTGCATACAAAATCAACTTTGTTAAAATCAAAACAAAAATACTAGCTCATCTGGTGGCTGATGGCACAAGCTTCAAAGAAAATTCTATTACAGCGAACCACATTACTCTAATTGATTTCTTCGCCAGTTAGTCTTCTGTCACTTCGTTTGTGATTGCATCCTCAATACTCCCCTTCAATCGCTGCAATTTACCTAAGAGGAAGAGGTGACAATTGGCTTCTTCCTCTTTTATTTCTATCTCTATCTCTATCTATCGCACATGAAATCGGCCAATCAGGAGCTGGTTCACGTTTGACAGAAAAGTGGTTCATTTTCGCTCCCGTATTGTCACCTCTTCTCTTAGCAATTTACCAATCCAAGACCGGTGCGATGTCGACGGAAAACTCCAGCTGGTAAACCTTTCGTCATTATGTCAGCAATTTGGTCGTAGATACTGCAAACGAATCTTCTTCTGTTTCACGAGATCTCTAAGGAAATGTAGCTTAACATCAACATGTTTGATACGACCGAAATCCTTCGACTCCTCTGCAATCAGTATTGTAGACTGATTGTCTTCGAGGAATGTATTCTGCTTTCGGGTAGTCCATCCGACCGTACATCCAAACAGCTTGTACACTGCGCCACTCATTGATCTCCTATCCGTAACGTCATTGGCCCAGTCCGCATCTGTGAAAACTTCAAGCATTGGGCCCTCCTTGTTGGCCCTGTACACCAGACACATATCAAGCAAATCTCTGACGTACCATAGTACCAACAATCAATACGAAAGTAACGATTTGAAATTGGCTCACTACTTGACTAGCCTATTGGTCCCAAGCAAACGATTAACGTACCCCATTCTAGTCGAAATTCTAGTACTACGCAATGTTTG